TCAATGAACGTATCTCTTTAGTAAAATAAATTTATTATAAAATTTCTAAGTAAAGTAAAATTCCATATTAGATTTTTTTGCAACAAGCAATACCTTAGGGAAAGTATCTTCTAATTCAAGTATAGATACTGCTAAAAATACGTTCAACTCAGAATATCCTCGAATCGGATCGGATCAATCTTCTAATTCAAGTGTCATAACAACAAAGTCTCCTTTAAAATAAGGTATATTTTAATTAAAGAATATCCTCTGCTAAAAGTATCTTCGCCTAGGCTTATCTAGCTATTTTATCAGAGATGATATGCCCATGAAAGCATTCTCAGCCTTTGGCTGAAAGTATCTTCTAATCGAAGCATCTTCTACTGAAAGAACCGAACCGAACTATCTTCTCATCAAAGTGACTTTCAATGTAAGCAATTTCAAATAAAACTAGTTAAACTTTAATGTTTCATTAACAGCTTCAAATTTACTCCGACGCTGCCCAATTGATTGAACTGCTCATTGTCTGATCAAATGATGAGATCATAGAATAAAAATAAAATATAAAAAAACCGCCACGCGTTGCTCTTTAAAAGCAATTGTCAAATATTTGCCAGCGTTTGTCAATGACGATGACTCCGCGTTGAGGGAGGCTACCTAGAGTGGAGTTCTAGAGGTCTATGGACGACATGCTGATTAGTGTGGCTGTGTTGAATGCCACCCAGCTGGCGCTGATGAGGAGCCGACTGGAGGCAGAGCACGGAGACAACTGCAGCCCAACTGCGACAACACTTGGCACATTGGCACAACGTGTTGGGCTCAAATATTGACCCAGAGCTTCGCAAGTAAGCGCGATTCAAACAATGGGCAAACAAACGGAGCAGACCAGACCAGACCCGCCAGACCAGCCAGACCAGCCAGACCAGGCGACAGGAACTGCCAAGGGCCGGACGAACCTGCTGCTGGCAAACAAGAGCCAAGCAGCCCAGAAGAGCCAGCCAACAACAATCTGCTCGGTCTCCTCGGGCTGTGCCTGGCCGGACTGAGCGAGTTCAAAAGAGTTGACCGACTGTTTAAGCAGAGCTCAAAGTGTGGCAACAACAGCGCTGTGGCAAGTGATAACAAGATTTACAAATCGATTGCCGACGGCGCTTTGACAAATATGCCAGAGAAGTGGGCCCATCCAGCGGCGACACCTGAGCAAGGGCCGAACACCTGGAGCTGGAACTGGACCTGAAGGTGTTAATCTGGGCAGCCGCGTGCTTGGCTCGACTGCGTGCTTATTATCACGAAAATGTATCCGCTCGACGATAATCGACTTAATTTGTTTAAACATGATTGCGTTTTATTTATAACAAAGACGTAAAACGAACGCACGAACGAAGGAATAAACAACAAAAAATTTCAGACAATTTGGTGCAAGTTTTGCATTTTGATAAGCGGAAGCATTTAAATCCAGAGTAAGAATAAGAGAGAGCGAGAGAGAAATACCAATAAAAAACAACAGAATTTTAATTAGCACATTTGGCATAATTATGGATAGTAATTGCTTAACGGCGCATTGCCAATTTTTTATTAACAATTAAAATTGAAGCCATGATTCAGCTCAGCTCAAAAGGGAAGTCGTAAAAAAAAACAAGAATTGAATTTTTTAGAAATTGTTAAACATTTTAACTGCTTCATAATTAAATTAGCTAATTTACAAATTGGTTTTGGCTTTTGAAATTGATTGATTTCTCACCTGCATCACCCAGTAGTTGTTGTTGGCGGCAAATTGATCACCAATTATAATATCCGTATGCATTTAAGCAGAATTGTTTGCATCAATCTAAGGCCGACTTAAATATATATATCTATATCTATATATGTGTATATATAGATAGTAGACTTTATTTATTTGTAAGAGTTGACCATGCTAAACATTTAGCTCTTGTTTTAATATTTTTTTTTTTTTTTTTGTATTTTTATTTGTATTTAGATTTTTGATTTTCTTGTTGGCTTTTCTCGCTTCTAGGTCACAAGTCACAGACAAGTTCAAGGCACATGAATGATTAACAATTTATTTGATTTATTTATTTATTTATTGTGAATTTTATTTGCATGGCACTGGGCAGAGAAGCAGAAGCAGAAGCAGCTCTTCAAWATGATTTTTGTATTTATTTTGTGGAATTTTTTACAATTTCTTGAGAATTGATTTTATTCATTTGCAAGGATATGCAAAGTGTAAGCACACACACACGTATACACCCACGCACACACACGCTCACTCACTAATTGGCTTTTATTTGTGCTTGAATTTACAATCATTCGGCTGCTGTTTCAAAATTCCCGCTTCAAGCACATCCTTTGCCTTGCCCCAAAAAGCTCAGACAAAATCAGCAAACGCCGGCGGCTTTTTTTTTTCACTTCCGCGTTTCGATTTCTTCTTCACTGGACAGTGATCTATTTTTGTTAAAAATAGTTGTTGCTGTATTTGGATAGAGTTGCAATTGCAAATTGTTTAAGGGAAACGCAATGTATCTACATCGACGCGCTGCACTCGAGAATTGATATTGAATGTTGAAAATTGTAGTTTTTGCTTTTGTTTTTTTCGAAAGCAACGCTGAAACCGAGCGCTCGGCGCTGTTGTTGTCTCTACGCTGGCGGGAACCGAGTTCGTACTGATTGGACGAGCGAAGGTTTCGCGCAGACGAACCTCGCCAGTCAGCTAGCGGGCCAGACGCACACACACAGAGAGAGATATAAACACACACACTTGCACACATGACAGTCATGTATGCTTGGCTAACCAGACTCAACGACTCTCCCCCGCTCAGCCACTCTGTCTGTGCTGTCGCGCTGTCAGTCGGCTTGAGCCGAGCCGAACGAGCTGCCCCTGCCTCCCGACTTATACTCCGCTCTTCTACAACTCTGCCTCTGCTCGCTTATTACCTTTCCCTCTCACTCTCGCTCTCTCCTTCTGAATGCTGCTCACTGAGTTTATGCTTTGCTTATTGCTGTGGCTTATTGTTGTTTTTACAACTTTTACGCTCGCTCGCTGTTCTCGCTTGGATCACAGCGCACTCTTATACGCCACTACTTATACAGCGCGCTCAGCTCTCCGGCAGCTCAGCTGTGTGCGCCAAACAGATCTTATTGGCGCGTATAAGAGCGTAGATTCTACTTGACGATTTTGCTTCGATTCGCCATTTTAGTTTGAAACGTCATATTGAGACGGCATTTGCATGAGCGTCTGAAGCGGCTTGTTCAAGCTGTATATATTTATTGAAATTAAAATTTTGTAATATGAGTCAGATTATGTGTTTATAGCAAACATATTCATACATATGTATCTATATGGTGATCTATATTTTAATTTGAATTTGTATAGCCAACAGATCGTAAATTGTAATCGGATACTGGCAAACTAGAGCTGAGATGAATGTTACTCAATGTTATTTAAACTAGATTGGAAACTATCTATTTACATATATATTAAAATATGTAACATGACAATTATATAAAAAACTGGTATCAAATACATATAATAAATTATGCAAAAAAAAAAAAAAATAAAATAAAATATAAAAAAATAAACAGAAACAACTTTCGATACGAAAACATTATAGATTAAACAAGTTTTCTGCATAAATTTTATAATAATTTAGGCAGTTATATACACATAATACTTGTGAATCTTCTAGTTATATTTGCATTTGCATATTAATATATCATTATATCATTATTTTATAGCATTTTCTTCAGCATTTTCATTAGCACACGCAGCTGGAGCATAAAATCTAATTAAATAAAACAAAATCGTAAAGAGCATATACCCGAAAATAAAATCAATAAACATTTTACTATACATATAGTTGTGTGTGTATCTATATATCTTTATATCCAACTATATATATGTACATATGTATCTAGTGGTTGGCAGCAATTCGCTTTAAGCGTAGCGCTGGGCATAAAATTATTCCAACGCACGCCACAAACATAAAAGCCATTTTCATTTTGACCAAAACGGAACCAAATGGCAGCTGCCCCCAACCAACAGCAGCACCAACCCCAACCCCCAACCAGTGCAATCGCTGCCTTATGCTGACCAGCCAGGGGGTGCTCGCTGCTTCGGCTTGGCTTGAGCGGGGGAGGCGGCGACACGCGACGCTTGTCTAAACATGGGGGCCACAAGACGGCAGTCAATAGAGGTGTGGCCTCATTGGCAGCGGCGCAGTCGCCGCGTCCAGCCAATCAGCGCGCCGAGCACGCCAGCCAGAGAGCGAGCGAGCGAGCGAGTGAGCGAGAGAGTGAGAGAGCTAGCGTTGCGGTTAGTTTTGCGTGTGCAGCAGCAGCAGCAGCAGCAGCAGAAAAAAAAAAAAAAACATGACAACAAAATGAAAATTGAAGTCAAGCGAAAACAAAACGAACAACAACATGACACGCAGGTGAAGTAGCAGACGGCGGCTGACTAGTTGAGATACAAATGTAACTCAGACTGTGCTCGTGGCTGTACGTTAGTTACTAACTCACACACATGAGAGTATACACGCGTGTGTGTGTGTGTGTGTGTGCGTGTGTGCATAGCTGCCTGTCTGTCTATTGATAATTGACTGCCGTTGCGGGCACTTCACTCACTCATTGTCTACCTCTCTATCTATCTATCTATCTCCCTTTCCTCTTCTCTCTCTCGCACTCTTGCTGTCTGTCCTTCTGTATGCTTTTTCGTATTTACCTCGTGCAAATTTGCCATTAATGCCACAACAGACGTTATATATGTATATACACATACACACACACACACACACAAATGTATCTGCTTTTGACAATGTCAGTTGCGTGTAGTAAGTTTTTTTTCTTTCTTTGTTGTATTTCATGTCAGTTGACTTTGTTTGCCCCAGCTCGCTGCCTGACTTACGCTCTAGCTCCACGATATCTATCTTCATATATGTGCGCAACTATGGCTTGATGAGCACAGATTGCCATCAGAGTATCTGCAAGTATTCCTAGCTAAGTTCTAATGGAAATCAAGATATTTAATAGGATTATCTATTGCAAATGTGATCATAAATTAACTTGAATTGCGTTTTCTTCATATATTGGCTTATATGAGTTAAAAGACAGCTGATCGCATTAGAATTTCTTATAAAAAGCTTTTCATTCCAGGACTGCAATCCAGAAATTAGTCTGCATATTAGGAATTATATAGAAATTATATTATTATGTATTTACTTTATATATCCCATACTATCTATCAAGCTTAAGTTCTTTCTAGCTGTATAATTTCGCTTGCTTTACCCCAAACTAAATCGTTTCTCGAGATCACTCGTATCTCCTATCGTTGCATCAGCGAACCTTTAAGCACAAGTTCCTGCTTACCCCTAGCCCGACTTTCATTAATAATCTCGAGCTGTTCTTTTGTTTACTGTTTACCCGTTTTCCGATCACAAATGTATCAATATTAGCGCTCTTATGTCAGAGTTTCTCCGAGTCACAATTAATAAACAAATTCCTTGTAATCCACGCCCGCCTTCCTCTGGCCAATGTCGTTCACTGATTTTCTCAATACGATATCTGTGGGATTTATGGATGGGTAGCTCGCTACCCTCCGCCCCCGCCACACACACACACTGACGGTGTCAACTCACCCCCTTAGGGGACAAAGTACCTGTTGTTCACTCTCTGCACTGCAGTTCGCTTGCAGTGTGACCTTATCGTTCGGCTCGCATGATTAATTACACACTCGAATGTCCCAAAAGGCTGCCGTTGCCCTTGCTCTCTCCCTCGTCCTTATCCGCGTCCATGTCCATTCGTTTCGGCCGAAACTCTGGCCAAAATATTGTCACGCTTCGAGGCGGCCAACAAACGCAGCCGCAGCTCTCCGAGGAATACTAAAAATCTCTCTGGCTCTGGCTTGATTGATTCCACTTGGCGGCACTTGTTGATAAAACCCAAAAAATATACCCAAAATAAAGGACAACGACAACATTTTTCGTATTCAAAATACCAAAACATTGGTTTCGATTGTCGCCCCACTCGAAGATTACGCGGCAATTTGTTTTGTGCCACGATTTTTCTCGGGAATCGCTTATTTACTCACATCTCGCATCTTCTATGGAAAGCACTCGCATCGATTCCCATCGACAACCGAATACATTTGTTTGCATAACGCACTTTAATTGAATTCTCAATGGAATCGAAATTTGAATTCAAGCTAAGCGATATCAAGAGATGAACAGGGATCTACATAGATCAGAGATGTAGTTATGAAGCCGGAGATGCTTACATAGATATTTGTAGTTGATATATGTATCTATTATAGAATGGTCACCTATTGCTATGTAGATGATATATTCATCTTGAGATAAAACTTTTGCTTATGTAACCATCTGTACAAAGATAAATGTATCTAAAAATACCTTCCTTCCATATGGGGATTAACCTACCCATCCACCTATCGCAATATCCGCATATAAATAACAATATAAATAACTATAGATCAAGCTGTGTAAAGGTCTTAAGAGTTTTAAGAAATAATATTCTATAAATATATGAAAAGGGTTCGCGCTCTTTGAAGAATGTTCAGCATGGAAATAGAGGATGGCACTAGCAATCTAAAACTATCGATATATCTGACTATCTTTGATATCTTGAGATATCTGCAGATGCCTAGATTCGTCAATGTATATAGAAATAGAAAGGTATCAATCAAATTGAAAATATTTCAAGACATATGCTCTATCTATTATCATCTAGAGATATGAGAGAAGTTATATATATAAATAAAGGTGTGTCTAGATATATATTGATATGTTTCATACATCATATAGAGAGCTATCTAGATACACTTTGGCATATATCATTTCTCACGTCATTCTGTGCTACAAAGCCATAAATCTATATCTGTAGATATTTGAAGATAGGCAAGAAATAATTTGGGCATAGATAGCGACAATTAGCATTAACCCCAATTGCCGTCGAGTCGAGTCAAATGCGCATTCCATGCAAATGGCTGCAGCTCAGTCAAGATGCAACCGGCGAGTCAACAATGCGAAATTTATGCGAATGCTAATCAAGTTAACACCAAATGCAAAAGGCAGCGAGCCAGCAGCGTCTGACAGTTTTTAAGTGCGTATCTGTGTC